CATACTTAAAATCTGCCTTGTCACAAAGTCTCAAGGCCGAACCATAATAACACATTCCTGCCGTGATTAAAATTCCCAAAATTACTACGACTTTGAGCGATGACGGCCGTATGTAAAGTCACAGATTAGCGGATCACAAACGCCTGCTGCTTGGAGCGCATTAGGCCAACGTTTTTTTTATTAGCCTTTCAATTATTCACTGTGTAGCTTTGTGGATCAATGTAAGACACAGCAGGAATCAAAATTAATAAACAATATCTTAGCCTGGATTAACTTCGCTGACTTTGTAATTGTGGTTTCTCTCCTAACACTTTCAGTTTTATGCAGTTTCATAGTTCTCATTATTCGTACGGTAATGCATTATTTGGTCTACACATAACAAGGAACTGAAATTGGACTTTTCTTGCTAAATTGTGGCTGCCAATTTACCTTAAATTGTCTTTAAAAACAGTTTCCATAAAAGTACAATTTGTGTGTGTGTTTTTTTTCGACAAATGTAAAAAAAAAAATGAATATTTGGCCTGATTGAATTTAGATTTACACTTGTGATATGAGATCCATACGTTGCCTTCTAATGCATTTGCCAACAACATCTGTCATTAGTCAAGAGACATTGAACTGAAAAATGATTGAGGACTTCTGTTATCAGCTGTTCCACTCAAACACTTGGACAAACTCACCAAACCGGTTCTGGACTTGTGTTCACAGTTACAGCTCATTGCTTCTTTCTGTCTCACCAAAAACACTGCATTTGAACTATTTTCTTCACTATTTCACACCATATGATTTAGTAAAATGTTAATATTCTGTCTCTAGAGAAAAAGGCGTGTATACATATGACTATGGGATGAAAATGTACCTGGTAAAGCTGCCAGAACATGATAATACAGGCAAACGGATTCCCTACATACACATTTATTCACTATGTTCTGGGAAATGGAGGGATGGGGTTTAAAGCGCGGGTACCTAACTTTCAAACCACAAAAAATGCAAATTTTCATTTTCCCATGTATGTATTTTTAGGCCTCTGTAACATGTTTATATTAGTATTTTTCGGACACAAAAGTGATAAAGAGAGGACCACTCTTTCTCGGCCAATCAGCTTTCAGACCAAATCATCAATTAGACTCATAAGGCTCTATCTTACAACTTTTCTTTTAGCCTGTTTTATTCCTGTAGTTTTTAGCTTGTCTGGTGCACACTGCGTACTCTTGCACATGTATTCTAATGTGGTTTTACTGCAAAAGGCAAATAAAATGAATCTGCTAAATATCCAGTTTTCTAATACATTTAAGACAGTATTATATGGTCTAATTTGTTCAACATTTTACTTTAACAAGACTTTCTGCTGGGGGAAAACCAAAATGTATTATTCATGAGTAAAAAGTTAGGTACCCCAGCTTTAAAACAATCTGGGGGTAAAACCAACAAATGACATCCCTAGTTTGCATGAAGAGACTGCACGCTCCAGTCTCTGCTGCTGTAAGTTAATAGTTCACTGGCTAGAGACTTGAGATGAGAGAGAGAGTGGTGAGGAAGTGCGACTGAGGTTATATCTGAACTTGTTGACTGCATTTGTGCTCAGTTCCCAAGTGGCTCTGACGCATCTTGCTGACCACATCATGTCCCAGACCCAGACTGGTCCAGACCGGTCCCACACACGTCTGCATCACACTCAGGGCTAAAGGTCTCCTCTATCAGGGGGAGACAGACACACTCCTCACTCAACTCCATGACTGTTCAAATACGTGATGATGACATTAAGTTCAGGCTGATTGTATTCTGAGTTTGTGAAATATGGCAGTTCAATTAAATAGATCAAACTCATCCAAACAATACATTTAAAGTTGCAGTTTGCAGTTTTTTTCTGAGGGGATGTGCATAGAGATATTATTGCATGGCTCATAACATTTGTCAGCATGGCATAAAACATACCAATCTTGCATTAATGCAGTGATAATAATATAAATTTTCCAAAATATGTTCTTTCTTTGGACACTGTTGCCTATAACCCTGAATTAAAACCTTTACTTTCCCTTACCAAAGGTGCACGGACAGACAAAACATATATGTCTCAAAAAGTTGCTGTTTTTGCCTCACGTTTCCTTGTAAACTTGTCTTTAGAATCCAAGTTTAGCACGGAAAGTCATTTACAAATGAAACCGAGACCTGCGTTACGTTCTTTCTCTGAAACCCTCAAGTGTTATTGAGTTTTGAACCATTTTAGTAATGTAAGTAAGTAAGTAATGTTTATTTATATACCGCCTTTCACAGACAGAGTCACAAAGCGGTTTACAATTGTTATTTTTTGGGCATTTTGTCCTCTCACTCCACACAGAGATGGGAGCGGTACTGGCGACCCCTGTGCTCCTGTTTCCTCTTAAAAAAGTAATCTTAGCTCCATCCAGGCTAATATCAGAAACACATCCCCCCCTTCTGTCTAAATACTCTGTTTTCAAACTCATTAGGCTATGATGAATCTTCAGACCACGACATCATAAACCATTTTCTGCCATTTTAAAACAAAAGTACTTTGGGAATTTGTACTTTTGGAGCAACTGCATGTCTTCCATCAAATCGTGCCATATTCAATATTTATTATGTAATCCGATTGTAGTTTCACACTTCACACACTGGATGGGAATGTGTCAGTAATCCAGATAGATTTTCTTTCTCCATTATCTATAAGAAATGGTCTTATATTCTATACTATTAGTGAATTAGTGAATATTGTCCGGATCATGTTTAAGGGCTAAAAGTAAGACATCATGTTAACTTGAACATTAGCCTCTGCAACTACATATTCAGCAATTCCAGGTACTACAGCCCATGCACCTCTTATTGGGAAACACGGCTTCATTTGATCCCATTGTTCGGAGCCAGTCCCCTGCTGTACTTTGTCATAACCCGTGTTCTTCTGCTCGAGTGGCGTTCGTGAAAAGCCTCATTATTTTGACTTATTTTTTGCTCTAGGTCAGAGTCATTTTGAGCAGTTAGCTTTGCTCTAATTAATATGACGTTGTTTTTGAGGTGATGGAGTTCGCCGTCGCTGCTGCTAACAAGACGCCACCTGCGGCGAACGAGAAAAGGGAAATCTTAGTGTCTTTTTATGACCAGTGTGCTTTTACTAATTGGGAAAAAAAAAACCTCATTTGTGCAACAGGTCCTATACACTGCAGATTATTTTATTTTTTACAATTGATTTACGTACACGCAGAGAAGGAAAGTTTGCAGTTTTATTTATTAAGGACGATGTGGAGGTAAAAAGATGGCTGCACCAGATTTAGCACCAGCTACTTTCCATCTGTAGTCCTTGACAATACAATCATAGAACTTGCATTAATATTCAGTTCAATAAAAGTTACTAAAATACATATTAAAACAAAAGTGCAAGTGAATGAATGAAATCTGCTCTCCCCTGTCTCAATACTAATGAAAATGCTTCTTTTTATGCAGAGTAAGAGATTTTTTCGGATTTTATTTTATTCCGTGTTGTGTGCTCCTCATTCCTCCTGTTCTGTAACTTGTAACACTGAAAATTCCCCACTGTGGAATTGGGAAGTATGCTCTTATTATGCTGTTATTATGAATGAATGAATTGATTGATACTTTTTTTCGAGCCATGGCAAACAAACAAAAAACAACAACAACAACAATTCTTGATTATATACAAATATACGGTACGGTTTGTTTTATTAACAAAAATCCAGCTGGAAAAGGAGTGAGAAGAAGATTATGAAGCTGATATAAACATAGCTTCAGGCAAAGTAAATATTGTTGTTTCTCTTTTCTGTCACTTTCTTGCTTGTTCTAATCAAAAATACAAACAAAATCGCCTTGAACTCTTAAGATTTAGTTGTGAAAAGTAGATTCGAAGGCATTGAGGGTTATTCCCAATGTAATCCAGCCTAACCCCTACTAACTATAGGCTATAAGGCTAGACTTTCTCTCTTCTTGTATTCCTGTTGTCTGGCCTATCACTATTGCCTGTTATCTTGTTGATTTTAGTTCACAGACTTGTTGAATAATATTACATTCAATGGCAGAACGTGCAAATCCCATTCCCCTGTCGCGCACATAACAGACCTTGCCGCTCCCAGTGCTGCGCCTGCTGTTGCTCTGCAGAAGTATCTTGTTTACAGCTGACGTTAGAACAGTGCGTGCCGTCTTATTGTGCAACCCTTTAAAAAACTAGAGCAGATCTAGTGACGGCCGGATTCTGCAGCCAGCCGTGCGCAGCCTTAGAGGTTGACGAATGTGTTTTTCATATGGCTTTCATGAGGGAATGTTGTTGTGAAGAAGGGTTTGACTGCAAAAAAGGATACAATATGAGGGAATAATTGCTAAAATGGAGTGGGTTTTAGCTTAATTTCAGTTCATTCTGTCTTAAAACTCGATTTACCTACGGGACAAATCCATTTAGTGAGTGAGTGAGGGTAATATTTTAGTAGAAATTGGGGAACTGTTTTTTTTTTTGTATGAAATGATGTTATTTAAAGTCTGTAGGTGGAAGAAATGGTCATGTTTACATCTATCTACATTAGAATCAGTTTAAATGAATTTAACATCAGCCTGCCCAGGGACTAGAGGTGGAAATTAGCATCTTTGCTTAATCCTGGTAAAATGCATCTTTCCCTTGTTGCACACTGTCCCTGCTCAAATAAAGAACATTCCATACCACACCATACCATTATTTCAAGAAATGTTGCTTGATTTTCTCATTCCATAGGGGGACATTTCTTGTATCTTTGTAAAACAAGATCATTTTGCTTTGTCTATTGGTAAATCTTGTTTTAAGGCAGTCAAAATGTGCTCAAATTTGAGACATATTTGACTTAATTTTCATTACTTTTACTTTACTTTGTTATATCCATGGACCAATTTTTTTTAGGATTATCTTCCAATGCTGCTTGTCAATAGGCCTATAAGAAAAAGTAGTACATTTCAACACACAGTCATATAAGTCATATATCTAATGTCATATTTTTCGGTTTTCGCAGCTGCCCAACATGTTCGGAGACTTGAGATCCACTTTTATCGCTTTGATGATCGGCTCCTATGCATCGTCTGCTGTTACATTCCCTGGCATCAAGGTAAAACAGATCAACTCTCCTCTTGTCTCTGTCCTGTTAAAAAACGTTGCATGTATTCACCTTCATTCCTGTGTGAATGTAGGTGATTTACGACCTGGGGGCCACCTTCATCTCCATCCTTCTGGTGTGGGCCGCCTGCGCTCTCCTGGTCTTCTTCAACTGCTTCCTGAACTGGCCCCTGGAGCCGTTTCCCGGACCGGAGGACATGGATTTCACGTAAGAACGAAACAAGCGCTAGACAAAGAATTCTGTAGCCTTGAGCTGAGTTTCAGATGGCAATTATAATGCCACGGGTTACAGCGACTCTACTAAAGTATTCAAGCTGAGCCAAAACATCTGCCTCTGAGCCCTCGGCAAATGCAAACACTCTCAAGGTTCATGAGAGAAAAAGTTGTTGTCTAAATCCCACTGTGATTCACCCAAAACTGGGGCTGTAATACCGGAAATAGGATAAGCCAAGTGGATCAGCTGGCTTTCCCTTTTATCTGGTTTCAAAATATCATCTTGGCCTTTCTATTTTAATCTTTAAGTGTTGTAAAGCTGGAGTGTTATGTATTTTATGGAGAAACACTTACACTAAACCCACAGGATATTACAAAGACTGGATGGTGCAGTGATAACAGATATCGATCTGCTGGGAAATGAATTCTGTAGTGGCACAAACATATTCAATGCAACTATGTGAATGAGTAATGTCTGTATTTTCATAAAGAATACATTGTCAGGAGATGGCAAACGTGGCCAAAAATAAACATACATAATCACATAGCATCTATTTATGAACTATTTCCAGATAATACTTTGTCAAGTTTTGATTTAAGATGGAGTACCTAACCTTTTATTTTCTTAGATAATTTCTTTGCTTAAAATGTTGTGAACAAAATCATGATCATGGCTGAGTTCAAACACAAGAAATGCACTAACAACAAACACATCGGCGCCATTAGATCCATAAATGTCTACAAATGTCCTGGATCATCACTTTCCTTAGACCCTCCTGCATCAATAAGGAACAAAACAAATCTGACGTGCCACGCATCTGTGTTCAGGGTGAAGATTAAGTTCAGCTGGCTGGGCTTCGACCACAAAATCACCGGGAAGCAGTTCTATCGCCAGGTGACCACGGTGGGACGGCGCCTCAGTGTGGGAAACACGCTACAGCCGGCGCCGAAAGAACTGGCCACTCAGGAGGCCAACAAGCTGTGCCTGTCCACGGTGGATCTGGAAGTCAAGTGCAACAAGCCAGAAGAGAGTGAGTGATGATTATGTCTGACTTCATGTGTTTATATGAGGGGAGAATATGGACTATGACACACAACCAGGCTCTCAAACCACTCCTGTCTCTGTACATCTGCTGCAGCTTTATACAATGATACCAATCTTGATGATCTACAGCAGGGGTGTCCAAACATTTTAGTAAGAGGGCCTCTTTAGTTCATCAGACTTGTCCAGGGGGCGGAAACCCTGATTGTCATGTGGTTTTTACTGGATTTGGGCCAGTTTAGAATGAGCTAGCACAGAGTTGAAGTTGGCTGAATGACAAATGTTTAGCATCTCACCAGCTACATAACGCCAGTATGTACACATAAAGTAAATGGCTGAATTCTAGAGGTCCTGAGTTTTACAATGTGGTACAATATGTCTATATTGGCTGAGATTAAGTTGGCTAGATGATCTCAAAGATGACGTTAAATAATCAAGGCATAGGGCCATATAAAATGACACAGAGGGCCGCATTTGGCCCACAGGCCCCATTTTTCTATTTCCCTGAACTACAGTCTTTGTAAACAGTTGCATATTCTTTTTACACAAAGACTATTTAACAGAAGGAACTAAAAAGTTGCAGGGTGCAGGGCTCTGTATCTAAAAATCCATCCATCCATTCATTTTCTTCCCCTTAATCCATTTCTGGGTCGGGGGGGTGGCAGTCACAGCTGCACCCAGTACACATATCTAAAATAGACATATCTAAAAATGTCTAAGGTTAAAATAGAGGTAAGTTTATTTCATCTTCACTGCATTAAAACCACACTTTTGGCGAACATTTTGTCACTTCCCGTATCGAAACCAAGCATCTGTGGTTCTCAAACTTTGTACTCAATATATCAAGAACATCTTTGGCCTTTTGATTTCAAAGGCTAAACCAGATTTTAAATAGGATTGCAATATCTATAGTTGTGCTAAATTAGGAAGGATGAACTAATATTTCGGAAAACATTACACAAATTACAAAACATAAAGTATGAGAAGCATAAGTAGAATTGTTTCCTACAAATGCGTATATTTGACAAATATTGATCTAAATTGCAAAGTCCGCAGCCTCAGCCAGTGCTCCAGACGGGTTCTTCCATGATCTATGACTCTGGGCTCCTCCCCTCAGAACAAACTCATTCAGAGCCATTGAGCCTTATGTTATTTCACATTAAGGATCAATGGAGCTCATTGTTCACTTATAATTCAAAACTTCACACACAAACAGCTTTTAGTGCCTCACTTACTCAATTGGCAAACATCTGTAATGGTTTTCAGCCCACTCTTCTTTTTACATGTTTGCTTTGGTTCTTGATACACCTCTCAATCCCTATCGGAAGAAGAGAAGATTAAACCATTCTTTGTAAAGTAGTCAAGGGTTGTATGTTCATTCTTATCTGGTTAAACAAAAGCAGTAGTTTTAGTGTTGCTGGTTTGTATTGGTCTGTATCTAAAATTGTCTGAAGAAGAACTGGTAGTAAGAGTTAGGATTAGGGTGTTACAACTGGCCTTCACAATATGGATATGGGACAAATACAAAACATACGTAATATTCAGGGGACCAGGCTGAACGCTTTTGTTTGGACTTGATAACACTTGTGGGTTGTCTTATCAAATGCTTGTCCTGTTATTCTGTCTGAAAGAACTCTGAAAAAACTCTGAAAGAACTAGATACTGAAATAAAGGCCATGGACATCTGTCAAGGGTTAGGGTTAAAAATCCATAATGAGAAAGAAAAGTTACTACCGATACCTTATGCGACTTATTACTTTCTGTTGATTTCGGGGTGGTAGATTCGGTGTGAAACTCTTATTCTATCTATATCACGGGTGACGACCACAAACCGGAGCATTGTAACGTTGCTGCCTTGAGGTCTTTGCAAAGTCAATGAGAAGGTTTGTACTTCCCGATTCTACCATCTGATAACAAAACGTTAATTTCAATCAGGTTGAGTGCTGAGATAATGCCACCACTGTGTGTTTTTTGGTCTCAAGTGAGTAGGGGGCAGAGAGGTCAGAGAGAACAAAGGTTATGTGTGACCAAATGATTCCCATTACTGCAATTATATATACTGTGTGTCTAACGGGAGTATAGGGAACATTTTGCAACTGAATGGAAGTTAGTTTAATGTGGACAAAGTTATAGGAAACGCAAAACAAGTCATTGGAACATCTCAATAATAGTAGATCAGTCTATATATACAGGACGTGGACAGTCAAACACATACCAAAAATGCAAAATGTATATAGTGCCTGTTTTTGTATTTGGTCACAGTAATGTTGATGATATCACTCAAGAAACCCCCAAATTTGACAGTAAAATGTCCACAAATATACTTTAAAAGAAGAAAAAATAAGTGTAATTGACTAAACTACACTGTAAAGAATTTCCTTGTAGAAAAACGGTAAAAAGCTGGCAAATATGGTTTACCGTTTTCTCAACATGGCGTTACCGTTGCTAATTTTAACGGTTAAAGACTGTTTCACTGAATCACATTATGCCTTTGTGATTTCAGGATTGAACTGTATGTTCCTGTTATTTCACATACAACAAAAACAGCATTATAATGTTCATTTTGTTTTATTACACCATACGACTGTTTCTGTTTCTAATTAGTTTCATTGAACAAAAACTACACAGCTTGATTTTGTTTTCCTTTAATGAACCCAACTTTTCAATTATTTTTTGAACATCTTCAGTTTATACAAGAAAGTTGTCAAAATCTTTACTTCTATAACATGCTTTATGCAAAAGCATCATTCTAACTAAAGCAGGAGGTTACATGTGTAAGAGGTACCTTTTACACTCATGGTTGCTTGCTAGCAAAAATTTCCCAGAATTCCAAAAATACAATAAGTTTACGTTAAATTACGGTAATAATGCCATAAAATCACAATGGGATTATTAATCATATTGTGATTTTATGGTATTGTAACGTTTTTTTGTAATCACATTATAATTGTGGCAATAAAACGCCACTGGATGTTTTTTAACCAATTTATACTTAAATTTGCATGTTTGAATTGTTTTTCAAAATAACATTTGTTTAATGTTGAAATTTCATTGTAATTTTACAGAAATTTGTTACAGTGTAAATCTAGAAAGGGATATTTCATCTTCTTTTTAATAATTTACAAACCTTATGGATGTTTTATGACACTTTTGATGCTCAGACTTAACATAATTGCATCAAAAGTGTCTATAGTGATCTATAACCTGTCACTATTGTCTCATAAGATTTCTAGCACATCTCTGGATAGTTTGACATCACATCTGCTGTAGTTTTTACCCAATTTCAAACTCAATATTATGAAAAATAATAAATAATAAATAATAATAATAAAAATAATTAAAAGATCATATATTTGCATGCATTCAACTATGTATAATGTATATTTATGGATGCTTGCATATGTATACAAAATATTATGTTATACCTGCAAAGCCTGTACATTCACTTTACCAAGGAAACACAATAAAGTATAAAAACATTGCTATTACAAAGACTGGACCAGTGTTTAAACTCAAATACCCAGCGCTCACCTTTATCCCATATCCCAGGCCACATTAGCCCGTGTGACCCCGACACCTCTGCTGTCACCGCGGGGGGTCTGCTGTCCCCCCTCTTCCTAATGAAGCGTGCTCTGGCCCCAGACTCATTCTTGGAAAATCCTCTCAGCGGGAGAAGGGCAGTCAGCAGGGGGCGGTGTGGTGGGGCAGGTCCATCACATCTGTCCATTCATGTATTTGATGCTATTTGAGATGTTTTAACTATATTTGCGCATTTACCGTAGAATGTTGACTTTTGGAGATACTGGTAAATTATAGTGAATAAACGTAAGCTTTACTATTGTACTTTATATGTCTTAGAACTGTCTTAACTGTTCTTAAATTTTCTTTTTACTTGTGTTTTATTTCATACTTGTTCCTTATTATGCAAAAGTCAGGGGTTTTTGTTCGAGAGTTAGAGATTTTAAGACTTCTTTCCTTATTATTCTAGAGATAGATATTTCTTACTGCTTCTTTTTAGGCTAGAGTTACAGATTTTATTTTAGATTTATTTTATTTTAGTATAGAGTTATTATTAATCTTATGTAAGGCTACCTGAGTGTCAAGAAAGGCGCCTAAGTAAAAAATAAAATATTCTTATCATTATTATTATTTTTATTATTAATAACTTTCACCACACCACTGTCACTACACTGGGCGAAAGATAGATAAGAAAGTAATATTAGGGAGACTTTTGCTTTCAAACCCACTGTTAAATTGTTTTATTTCAACAAACTAAAAACTTGTGGCTGCAGAATACTGGACTCCCTTCAATAAATATGTTGATATCTGGACACTTGTTAGTTCTCTTTGGTTGTTGCATAATAGAAAGACTTTAATTTGGTCTTTGTAGTTGTGCCAGGTCCCACAGTCCAGGTTTGGTATGTACCTCTGAACCCAACAGAACATCCGTCTGAGAGCTGCACTGGACACACATGATCTGATTGCTTAAGTAGTATTTTCAGGTTTCCCTACTTGTTTATTAAGGAATCTGGATAACTTAGGAAGTGCTTAGGATAGAAAGAAGATGACAAAGTGCAGCTGTTCCCAAAGTCAGGAATACAGCACTGATCACAAATCTCCAATGCCCCCCAATAACAATGTTTTTTCCTTTTTTGAATTGAAACGAAAATACAACCACATGATTGCAGTTGAGCTTAGTTTTGAAATTGTATTAAAATCTCATATTTGTGGATTATGAATCGTAATTGCTTGCTGTGGGAAAACCTTTTAGGAACCCAGTTGTGGTTCTGTAGTTGATATTTGACCTTATGCTTATACTGTATAAACATCATTACTTTATATGTACCTGTACTTACCTCTGTCATTGGCTTCTACTGTTTTTGTCTAATACAGAAAAGCTGGCAACCTTGTGTTCTATCGCCAACTTGATAATAATTAGAAAGGAAAAGAAAGATACTGTGACCAAACGCTGCAACTGTAGTAGATCCAAAGTTCTTTAATCGACCAAACAAGAATATTAATATATGTTCTTTGCATTTTGCCGATTTCAAATGAATTCATAAAGCATATACAAAACAGGGATTACAATATTATTTCATTCAAGTCTGCTCACATATCATTGGTATTTGACTTTTAAAGACATAAAAAGTCGTACACTTTGGTTATTTTCTGCTTAATTTACTTCTCAGTTGCCTTTTGCTTGTTCCGTGGTAACTATTGGATGAATGTTCAGCAAAAAATAGTGCGTAGTTGTTGTGAATTAGTCATTCTTCTCTACTTTTGACTTGTTTGCGCCGAAAGCCAAGGCCATTTCCTGGACTGTGACTTTCTGATTCTGATAGTAATTATAGCAGTCAGTTACACAAAGATTTTTCTATTATCTATCCTTACTTGTCCCAGATCATCATCCTCCCTTCTCACATGCGTCATTGCCGATAGTTTTACTCCAGTACGACCCCTTTTGTGCCCTAGTCGTTCTTAAAAGCAGGCCCATATGCACACACAGTTAATGCTGCCTAGTTAGTTTGTGTGTTTATCTCGAAACAGCTGTTGGTTTTTGTCTCGGCTGTTCGAGGGCCATAAAGCCTCAGTCTCCATTTGTGCAGTGACCGTAAACTGCACTGCCCAAACTGCACCATCTGTGTTCACTTTCCATTCATAAAATCAAGCTCTATTAATGAACAACCTTTCTTGGTAGCTTCTCTTCCACCTGTTTGGGTTTTATCCACAGGTTAAGGAGAGTTTCCTCAGCAACCGAAGTGAAAGCCGTTGCGGATATTTAGAGAGTTCAAGTCACTTAGCTTGGATAGTTCAGGTTGTACGCAAGGTTTTCCATTTTAAACTGTGAAAGAAATCATAAATAAATTGTACTTAAGATGGTAGAAGAATGGACAGATTCCTAGGTATATTACATAAAGATTTACAATTAATCAAAACCCTATTACTTATAGGATATAATGAAGTCATTGCTCAATATTAACAGTAATTTTCTAATTTGCCCTTTTAAAAAAAAAAAAAATTCAGCTTCTCTGCATGAGATCACAAGGGAAATGGGGATGAGGGGAACAAAAAGGGGACAAAAAGCAAAGTGGGATGCAGCAAACCAGTGTGAAAATGTAAATACAATGTAGCCAGTGCTGTCAAATGCAAATTCTTCTCCCAATATGCCGACTTCAAGCTAGATTTTTGGGAATAGTTTAAAAAGTATGCATTGAAACTAAAGTCACACCGAAGAATTGCGTAACCGTGGTCTGCAAATACGGCAGCTCAGTGTGAAATATGGAAATGGACAGGACAGGACCATAGCAACACCGCACTGAATATGAGACAATATTGTGTAAAACTAACAGCGCCGTGAAACATGTTACAATAACGTGCCGACTCTAGACATCGATCTATGTAAGAGATTTTTAATGTTTAACTCATTTACTGTAGGCCGCAACAATGGGAAAAAGTACCTTTTCCATTGACATTTGTTAGTAGTTGAATAGTTGAATAGTAGTTGGTAGTTTATTGTTTGTAAAGATAAAGATGGCGCCGTGGCAAGAGCTCTGGTGTGTGTCGTCCTGGTGCACACTGGGGTAGTCTTGCACAGTTTTTCCAATGTGGTTTTACTGCAAATGGCAAATAAATGAATCTGAATCTGTTTTTGTAGTATTTCATGTCTTCTATGTATTTCTTTTAAGGCTGTATTGTCTTGCTTCACGTTTGCGTTTCTGTTTTGTTTTTCTTGTGTTAATCCCTCCATTTCATTGAATATTCTTTTCTTTAGTTTTGTAGTTTTGAAGTCTTTAACCATTTTCCATTGGGTTTCTAACAACAGACGGGCTTGTGCCATGTGTCTATAATACATATACAATTGCCTTTATGTGATCTGTAGGATGAGTTTCTTCGAAGAGTATGTGCTTTATAACAAGAAGCATAACGTAAAAATGTATGTATCAACGTGTTCCTCGTCTGCTTTTAGGCTTTTGGGATCACAGACCTATAGTTTCAAAGGGAAGTCAAACCAAAGACTATCAACGGTTTCCTTTATTTATTTTTATGTATTTATTTCAGGCAAACACATGTTAATAACATAGAAAACATATTTGTACCCAAGTTCAAAAAAGATAACAATTTTGCCTGAAAGGGAGTAGGAAGAAGAGAACTTTATCAATTCCACCCCATTTTCCATTTACACATTAGCGTCTCTCCTACTGCAAACTTAAATTCTATGTAAAAAGGAAACCCGGAGAGCAGGACTTAATACATGTAATTAATGCTGTAATAAAACATTCAGATTTATTGTTAAAACTATATGTCAAAGTCTTGGTTCTTGTGTTTTTCCCACAGACCAGTCCTTCATGCGCAGCGTCCTGAGCCCCATCTTCCTCCTCAGCCTCATCACGATGTGTGTGACGCAGCTGAGGCTCATCTTCTACATGGGAGCTATGAACACCATCCTGGAGTACCTGACCGACGGGGACCTCAGCACAGGTACTACTGCTGTTACTAGTCCTACTGCTACTGCTGCTGCGGCTCCTGCTGGTGCTACTGATACCACTGCTGCTCCTGCCACTATTACTACTGCTGTTACTAGTGCTACTCCTACTTCTACTACTACTACTACTACTGCTGTTACTAGTGCTACTCCTACTGCTACTTCTACTACTACAACTGCTGCTACTGGTGCTACAACTACTACTACTTCCACTATTGCTACTACTACTACTACTACTACTTCCACTATTGCTACTACTACTACTACTACTTCCACTATTGCTACTACTACTACTACTTCCACTATTGCTACTACTACTACTACTACTACTACTTCCACTATTGCTACTACTACTACTACTACTTCCACTATTGCTACTACTACTACTACTGCTTCCACTATTACTACTACTACTACTTCCACTATTGCTACTACTACTACTACTTCCACTATTGCTACTACCACTACTACTACTACTACTACTACTGCTGCTGCTACTACTTTCACTATTGCTACAACTAGCACTTCTGTTGCAACTTGTGATACTTCTACTACTGCTGTTACTTCTGCTATTTCAGAACTACTACTACAATACTGCTGCCTCTACTAGTGTTGTTGCTGCTGCTGCTGCTACTATTACTACTCTGTCAACTATTGATAATATTGCTAAATTATGCTATAATATAGTAGAATATGATTGTTTCCCTAAACAAATTAGTGAAGGTTATAACATAGATTATTTGTGTTTTCAGATGTAAGTAGATTAATAAAGTAACCGTACACTAAAACAAACAATAAACTGATAAAAGTGCTGATTACCTGTATGTGAAGGCCATAGTCGTAGTCGATAAGACAACTTGACATTTGGATATTTTCACAGTAGATTTAGCGATAACTTCACACTTCTCATGGGTTTTGAATAAAGCCTGTATCTTCTGCGTCTGTCTGTCTGCTTCAGCTGTTGCAAAATGCCTATTTTCTTGTTTCTAACCTGCTCCATGTCTACTCCTTCCTCTGCTTCTGCTTCATGCGGCTGTTTCAGTCGGGAAGATGGAAGTTGGTAAGAGATTAAGGCCATTTTAAAACGCTCAAACCACATCTCCCCAGACACCCCCTGCCATCTTTGTCTGTCACTTAAATGTATATACTGTATTGACTCATGTTGTCAGAATTTGAAATAACTTCTGGATGGAAGTTTGTTCAATGCTAAAAAAAAGAAGTCCTGCTAACTAGTTTTGAGGGTGTGCGTTCATATAAGGTCCTTTGTAGATGTAAAAAAGCTTGTTCACTTTAGCCACAAGTCTTTTATTTTTGGATTGGAAGAATGGAATGGTTGTCATATAACATCACAGCATGCTCTTTGTAGTTTCATTCTTAAGTATTGCATTTCATATCGATACAATCCTAAGATGATATGTCTGTGTTTTTTCCCAGTGAGTGTGTATACCTCCATCTTCGGCGTGCTGCAGCTGCTGTGCCTGATCACATCTCCGGTCATCGGTTACGTCATGGACTGGAGACTCAAGGACTGTGAGGACGAGAACGACAAACTCTCCAAGAGGTCAGAATTTACCAATCAATTTTACAACCCAGAAACCCAGTCACACAAATAAGCTCTGTCAATGCTTTTTGGCCAGATATATATAACTTTTTCTCCTCAAAATATACTAATTTACTTGTTACTACAATAGGAGTACAAGTGCAGTGCAGTGTCTTGTTAGTGCTCAACTGATTAAATTGAAACAGTGCATAATCTTCAACCAAAATTGCCGATATGTGCAAAACAATTGAGAGAAAATAGTGATGTGGTAGTATTACATTCTCTTAATATGATCTTTAAGTGACTTTGCTTACAGCACGGGTCTCCAACCTGTGGCTCAAGAGCTATCAGTAGCTCACCCGCCACGTTCAGCTACCTCACCAAAGGATTTAGAATTTAACAAATGATCTTGTATGAATGCATTTCGAGTCGTTACATATCTATTATAAATATTTGTTAAGGGTTATAATATATGGTATAATGGAAGATTTTACATGTGCTCTCCATGTTTTTTCATAATTATTACATAAATTATTAATACGACTGCAAAAAGTAGTAGCTCTCTGCCTCTTCTGTTGTATAAAAATAGCTCTCTGATAGAAAAGGTTGGAGACCCCTAACAGTATATGGATCAAAAGTATATATTAAGGGTTTCAGGATATCATTTGTGGCATGATTGGACAAAAATGTGATCGCTTTGTGAACTCAAGTTTGATAAGAAAACTACTTTTTAAACAAATCAAGTGAAATAGAGGAGCTGTGTCAATACTGTCAGAAAACCCATCCTTACGCACTGTTTTAATATCACTGTTTCAAGGTGTGGTGGTAATTTCCCCATCCCTGTACTATTATCTGATAACTGTACCTATATCTAAGAGAAAATCTTGTTGACGTTGTGATGACAGGGAGCCTGGAGAGCCCCGTCGGCCTGACAAAAAGATCCAGAAGATTGTAAACGCCACACGGGCCTTCATCTTCACCAACCTGCTGCTGGTCGGCTTTGGAGTCACCTGCCTGGTCCCCAACCTCCCCCTGCAGGTGTGACTTGAGATCTGTTTTTACACCACACTACACCCATATGTAGCTCTTCAGAAACTTTGATTTGTCTGCTAAAACAAATTAAAACCGTAATTACAAGAACTTAAACCATTTCGAAAATTACAGTCACTTTTGTCAATTCAAACTATACAAGAAAGTTGGGGTGCCAGATTTGTCAGAGAAAGTAGTAATTGGAATCTATCAAACTGGTTCCTATCTATCACTTTATTCCCCATTTTGACATCACTGGAGTAGCTTTTTCAGACGGAACAAAGAAAAATGAATGACCACCTTTACAAACCTTTACTTTATCAGCTCTCAGCCCAATGCATCATAATTCGCCGTTCTTGGCTCTTTCTTACAAAAGATTTTTAAAAATTGTCTATTGGGATGAAGACCGCATAGTGTGGGCTGATTTGTTCACTGAAGTCTGGATTTTATGGGATTTTTTTCTGTGTTTTTGGCGCCCCAGCTTGAAAGCATATTATGTTGTTAACTAAAAGGAGATATTTGTTCTTTAATTCTTTGAAGTGGGTAATTAAATAAAGGACCTTCTTCTTAAGGATCCGTTCTTCTTTTGAATCCTCAAGCCCCAAACCAGACCATAATCTCACTCAAAGTCCATGACTGAAAGCTTTTGATTTAGTCCTCTCAATTTGGAATAACCCAAACTTTCTATCCCAATTGTGGGACTGAATACAGACCATGAAACATGACTTGGTATAAACTAAAGCAAGGTAACCAATCTTAAAATAAAAATGCCTTGTCAAAGTCGCCATTGGCTGTAATCTCGTGCTAAAATTAGGATTAAAAAATGCTCTCGTCAGGTCTCCAGTGTGATCCATGTGCAGCTCCATAGATAAAGCTTAGCTGCAGTGGGGACAGCTTCACATGGCTCTGCGGCTGATCCACTGCTACATCTTGGTCTATTACTGACACCTACTGGCCGACTGCGAAATTACATGTTATTTACTCGAGTATTTTTAAGCGCACGGTGTCACATTAACATCCAAGAACAACGTTGTAAATAAGACTTTGTCCTTAACCTTTTGCCTGATGAATTTCAATACAATTTGAAATATTATTGAACTAATACAACTCTTTTTGTTATTCTAGATCCTGTCATTTATTTTGCACACTATAGTCAGAGGCTTCATCCACTCTGCTGTTGGAGGACTCTATGCTGCTGTGTAAGTGAAATATTATTACAGATATGTTGTCCACGGGCTTCGAATACACCGGCTGTCTTGCATCTACAGGGGAAACTCGGAAAATTATAATGAGTCTATATCATAATAGTTTCACATTGTAAGTGGACATAGAGAAATAAATTAACTTTTGGACGATATTCCAATTTTCAGAGTTTCACCTGTATGTTTGAACAGTCTGTGGGTTGAACACATGTTTGGACATTGAATGGGTATATTTGTTTTAATGTCATTATTATTGTTATTATTATATCTTTTCCATTGTTTTATACCTATTTGAATACCTGAATAGATGGACAGCCAGACAAAACCAGACAGGACATTGCTCAAAGTTGAATCCAATCAAATAATCAAATCATATGTTCAGTTATCCAAAACATTAAAATCATTATACAGTGTATCACATGTCACAGCTATCTCAATTTCTCTAATCTGTGAATATTTTCATTCGTGATCTGTTCTTTGCTTACATCGTCTGTGCATGACAATACCTGATAAAATGCTTTTTGTCCCTGCAGGTACCCGTCCTCTCAGTTTGGGAGTCTGACCGGGATGCAGTCTCTGATCAGCGCTCTGTTCGCCCTCCTGCAGCAGCCGTTGTTCCTGGCCATGGTCGGACCCCTGGATGGAGACCCGCTCTGGGTGAGAACAAGGGTTTGACATCAATGTGTGAATGGATAGCTCTGTGTATGGTCCTTATATGGAATTAGAATTTATAAATAGTCAGTTTCTTACACACATCTGTTTGAACATGTGCCCTGCCCTTGCATTAAACTTCATTGTAAGTTTATCAATTCAATTCAATCTATTTTTGTACAGCCCTAAATCACAACAGTAGTCATCTCTTTAGAAAGCTGTCGATTCGTCAAGACAGATCAGAGAATCAAACACAGAAAATGCAGTGATAAAAAACACAGACTTCCTGAGTTTAGACCTAATATATTAAGACATTTTGTTGTTTTTAATTATTGAATGGCATATTGTATGAGTATCATTGTTGTCTGATGATACTTGGTGGGGAGTTCAAGGAAAAAATCACGGAAACATTTGTTTTATTAATAGACTTTTTAATTGCAGATTACATTTCTTAACAAGTGAATTAGGAATTTGATCTGGCTTGAATATCAAAGGAAATACAACTCATGCCATTTTGCTCCATATCTATCAGTTTTCTCAGATAAATTCTTGTAATTCCAATACAATATTTGGTCGACTAAGAACCCATTGACTGATTAAAATGACTAAATAATGACAACTTTCTTGGAAGGCTCATAATGTATCGTTATGTCTACTGTTCTATATGCAAATAAATCCTTAAATCCTATAGCTTTAGTTGTAAATGCGTATGTTTCTGTGTCCAGGTGAACGTGGGCCTGCTGGTGGTGAGCATGCTGGGCTTCTGTCTTCCCGTGTATCTCCTCTGTCACAGCCGGTACCTGCAGCGCCTCCGGGACGAACGCGACTCCGACCCCAAAATCTACGTCAAGATCAACGGAGAAAAACCTGAAGCCTTCATCTAAACGACTAGGGCAGATACCAGTCTCAAAGCTGCATGGAGAACCACAAGACAAAATATAGTGAGGAAGGCCCATCGTCCTTTTTACATAAACTCGTCTTCAATCACAAAAATCCTGTCCGGTCCTGACACAAAAAAAAAAAACAGGATTATAGCTTCACTTTCTCAGATGCTGATTCAACACTGTGACTTTCAAGGAGGACAAACACATGGACTACACAGACTGTCCCAATCCCTCCTTTATTCTGCATCAGAGGAGACAAAAAAGAGACTATGTTTGATTGTTTTTTTTCACTCCTTTTTATCTTCTGTTACTGATTCAGCACTGCCCATTTTGTTTCAGGTTGAAATCTATGTACGTCCACGCAAATGTCTAGACAATCAACTTTTGGGGCACCTCCATAATGTATTCACACTGAAGTAAAACAGAAACGGTATTGTGGAAGTTGCAGTGAGGTTGTTTGGCCAGAAGAGGGTGCTGTGTGCAACTGTTACAAGACATAGCATTCAAACAACGCATATAATAATGATAATGCATCGGTTTTATACAGTGCTTTTCTGGACACTCAAAGACGCTTTACATGTCATCATTCATTCACTCCACACACGGTGGTGATAAACTACTACTGTAGCCACAGCTGCCCTGGGGCACACTGACAGAAGCGAGGCAACCAGTATGCGCCATCGGTTCCTCCAACCACCACCAACCATTCACACACACACATTCTAGGCAATGGGGGAGAAGTGTCTTGCCTAAGGACACAACGGCAGTTTGGCACTTTACAGCTGCAGTCGCCCCACTGTGGCATCAGGTGTTCCCAGAGGTTAAGTGTCTTGCCAAGGACACAACGACAGCAGACAGTGGCTCAAAGGCCAATACTCTACCAACTAAGCTACTGTCGCCCTAAATGATATGATTATCTTGAAGAAAAAACAGATTATATAAAAAAATTGTCTCTGTTTTGTTGACAATCGATCCATTTAGCCAATTTAGCTTTGCATTTCTAATGGATTTGGTCAATGTTGTGACCCTTTCTGAATACAAACTTGTACTAAAACTGACAAATTTCAACGTTCTTACCTCAACATTGCCCCTTTTTTTTTTACAGTGCATTTACTATCATGAAAAGACATTTGTGTGGACATTACAGTACATGCAGAGGCTGAAGACATCACCTTGATCACTCCATTACACTGTTACCGTGCACACATTTTACCAGAACTTTTCAATCACACTGGCCTACAATGCAATGCGCACAATATTGTTACGTCGCTTTCATTTTGGGATACTCCCTTCTTTGTGTGATTTAAAATGAAATAACCTCAAATATACACACACATAGAGACTGCAGCTTTTCTCTGCATGTGTGAGTGTGTGTGATGACAGGTTCACTGCATGATGCCAGGCTCGAGAGAAGCCAAGAGACAAAACGCCATGAAATCTTGACATTTTGTGTGTTTTTTTCCATCCTGTATAATATTCTCAATCATTTCTGTGCGTTAAGTAGATGGATTGAGAAACATATTTAGAGTAGCTTGTTAAATTGTGGGACTGCATCATCCATTTGTTGTAGCAATAAGTGTTTCTCTATGAGGTGCTACTTGAGTGACACGGTTTCCAAAGACGTTTATTTTTCACTGTTCGCTCAGCAGCAGCCAGCGGTCTTCGTTCTGTTTTTTTTCATTTTTTTTTCAAAAGCAATCATTTGTGAGACTTGATCGTTTTGCTCAGAGGTTGTGGGATATGACTGAAAACACATAACAGCATTTTTTCATGGCTAACTTTTCAGCAAATTGGTTAGCCTTTGAAATGAAAAATAATGGGTGTCTATGCTTAAAATGGTTAGAAAATGTATGGCTTTGTGGGAAGCTAATGGTGACCTGAAATATCTAGATATCGCACTAATATGGATTCAAAATGCTAAGATAACACCTGTACCTAAAAATCAACACATACTATATCAAAGAAAATTTAGCTTTTAACTGGAATGTTCCACAATATGGCATTAATCATATTTTTGCGGAAATTCAACTGCAAATGCTTAAAAAAATACCTCAGATTTTTATATATTATGGACCATTCTGGACAAAACCATGACCGCCCTTAGAAATACCACTCATCCCACTGCTACCATTACAGCTATTACTTCAACTACATATAACGATATTCCCTTTCCTTAATGTATGTAGCTATTCTTTCCGGACCGAGAGACAGGCCTCCAAACCAGCCTCCGATAAAGTTAGCGAGAAATGAATGGCACAAGCTGCACTTTAGCCCACTGATAAATGGACCTTTTTCGTGTATTTTAGACAGAAAATGTGGTGCATGAGGCAAAGAATGAATGTAAAACTATATTGAAGCTTCACGAACATGGGGATTATAGATTAAAAAAACAAATCTGTTATTTTTATATTGACAGAAGATTCACGCGTTCACTGTATGGCCTTTTTGTCAAGAGAAATCAGCAGCGGCCTGTCTCTCGGTGAAGGAAGATAAATATGTAGATGTGTTTAAATACATTGGGTTTATCAATGCAGTAATTGGGTTTCAACTCTCATTCCATCATAAAGTGATTGAAATTCTTCTTGCATGTTTGACAGAAGTACAAAAATGCACTCCAATCTCAGGTCAAGGTATTTAATGGCAGAGGAAAAGTTTTTAGTTGTTTTGAGCCACAACAAAACTCCTCAAAGTTGTTAAATCCACTCATATCCCATGATCAAAACACTCACACATTCATAACACATTAGAAAATATGTATATTTTGTCTTCTAAATTGTCAAAAAACATGTTTGAGAGAAAAGACACGTTTATTAGCCATTGGCCAGCTCCTTAGCAACCGTTGTCAACTCGAAGGCTGAGGCTGAAGAGTTACGTTTTCCTACTTTTAACTTGGGAATTTTACAAAACGATGCATTTTTAGCAGGTTTAGCAGCTTAATTCAAAATCCTGCTATATAAAATATCTTTTAAAAGTAACTTTAAAATACTTTTATTCTACATTGAAAACTATTATTCCCAAAAAAGAAGCATTGTTGTATTGGAATTGTAATAGAAAAGAAGAATATTCAGTAAATATTTTGTTCTTTTTCATCCTAAGAAAATATTATGCTCAGATATTAGTGAAATGTCCCATCTGTTATAGTAGAAACACAATTACTGCATTGACTGACCTTTTTGATGAAATGCATGAGTTTATACTTTATTCAGACAATATAACTATAAAATCACTCAGGCCGCTTTGAATGAATGACTTACAAAGCACTTTCCGTCACTGTTGTACCTTAAACCACTCACGGATCCGGATCACATCTCAAATCAATGAGGAATTGTTTCATAGACAATTATTGTAAAAGGAAAATGATTCTGTTGCATTGTGGGTGTGTCCGGTTTGAGTCATGGACTTCACTTCTTCACTGTCGCTATTTGAAACTGTTACTTTTTAAATATGTTTTTTACGTTCTATATTATGTTTTTGTATCGTCTCGTACCATCGTATAGCCGTTGTTGATTTGGTTTGTTAAAAAATGAAAAATAAACTTGATTATTTGTACAATTTTGCGTCCTGTTGATTTCAGAATATTTGGATTGTAAGATGAACAGACATCTAGAGATAGCAAAGACTGTGATTATTTCAGTCCTACACGCACTGAGAAAATGGAGGGAAAAACATATTTATTTTTGTCTGTTGTGAACAAGCAGTCTATGCTGGTAACCTATTGATTTTGAAGCACCATAGCATCTTTCCTTCTAACTTGAGCTAAGAACAGTTTCTAGCTCAGTTTGGATCTTACAGTTACACTGCAAAATGTGATGAGAAATATGTCAAATATTGCTCCAATTTGTCAAAATGTACATTTGAGCACATTTTTCACTGCCTTAAAAATGATTTGCCAATGGGACAAGCTTAAATCTGCTATCTGTTTTGAAAAGATACAAGAAATGTCTCACTTGGAATGAGAAACTAAAGCAACGGTTCTTGAAACAACACTAAATGACTGAATGAATCTGAATGTATATCAGATTCAGATTGATTCACCATTTGCAGTAAAACCACATTGGAAAATTAGCAAAAGTCACCAGTGTGCACAAGACAAGTAAAGACATAAAACAAAGTTAAAAGTACTGAAATAAAACAAATAAAACAGTAGACAATTGCCACTGTGAAATCGATCGACAAACAGTATCAAAGCAAGTGCAAAACATTAAAGTGCTCTGTTCAAACTGATAACAGCTTGTGGAAAAAAGCTGTTGGCATGACGAGATGTCCTGCATCTCAGAGAACGATATCTTCTGCCAGAGGGAAGAAGCTGGAACATGGCTTTCCCAGGGTGGCCAGAAGAGTCGTTGATAATTCTCAGAGCTTGGTTTAAAAGTCTGGATTTATAAAGAACCTCCAGACCAGGAAGCTCACGGCCCAGAGTCCTCTTTGCAGAGCGGAGCACCTTGTTTAAAGCTCTCTTTTCTTTGTCTGTGATGTCACAAAACCACACAGACACAGAACCAACAAGTAAACTCTCAACGGTGCAGCGATAAAAGTTAAGCAGAAGCTTAGAGTTAGTGGTAAATTCTCTAAGTTTACGCAGAAAGTAGAGACGCTGACAAGCTTTCTTGACCACTCAGTCAGTGTTTTTGTCCCACTTCCGGTCATTGGACAGAGTTAAACCGAGAAAGATGGAAAGATGGAATATGTATATTTTCCCAGAAATTCAGAACGTTCCAAAATTAAGATTAAAATATTTGATATAAGACATTTTTACCTCATACTCCAGAGTCAACATTTATTTAAGCTATATTTGTATTTTATGTTTTTTTTCTTCCTGTGTTATGCGTTGTTTGTTTTGTTACTTATTGTGTAATCACATAATGAGTATGGCAGCCTCTGTTGAAATATATTTTGGAACAAGAACAAGCATTTTCAATATCCAAACAGTAGGGCTGAGTATTTAACTGTTCTTTAAGCGAACTTATGTTAAGAGGTTTAGTGGAATAACTTTCATAGGGACTGAGGATAGCAACCAAAGCCACGTACTGTGTTTCCTCCGTCATCAATGAGTCAGATGGGTTTTCCCTGAACCTGTGGAAAAGACATCACCACATCCAAATATATAGATTGTTATGGAAATGGTTTTAAGTGACTTAAAGGCATCATTACTATTCATTTTAATGGTTATTCTATATATTAAAGATTTCGTTTTCATATCTGTATCTGTTTACTGAATTGAACCATTGTGAGATCAAAGTAAATCTTATCTTTTTAATTTTGTTTACATTTTGTCATACTAGGAGCTGCCTGAGGGCTTGTACTCTCTCGTCTCTCACTCGTCATAAAAAAACTGTTCCAAAGATGACAGAGGCCAACAATCCATGCAGGTGAAAATGGTGAGAGAATACGTAGATAGATAGATAGATAGATAGATAGATAGATAGAGATGTACAGATATAGCTGATGTACAGCCTTGAGCAGCCTGTATTATGTAGACTGAGATACGACTGAGAAACAACATGTGCTTTAAAACATGTTGTAACATTCACTGTTTGCCTTGTCTTGTGGCTTAATGTTTGTCTCATAAACAAGTTAAACCAGAGCTGGAGGTTTCTCCCAGGACCAGACGGACCAGGTTCAGTGTTGAGTCCTGCCCCACCCTTCTCTAAGACAACAGAGTGAAGTTCTGTTCACAGATTTTTATAATACAGTAAATAAAACGCCATTCAGACCAGAAGTCAAGATGCACAGACTCTGCAGAGATACAGATCATTAGGGCAGCTGTGAACCACATGTTTCCTATGTCATCCTTACCAAGTGCAGCATTCTAATTGAAATGATTCATGTGAATATTTATAGCACACCCCCTTACATTACATCAGAGAGTCGATTATTAGAATCCGTATTGACATGGAGGCACTGTGACCGAGTGGTTTGGATCCCACTTTTTTTAAAAGCTATAAAAGGCCCAAAGTGGATGGTAAACCTTAAACTCAGATGATTTTCATTACGCACCAATCACAGTGTGCGGGAGTTACGCTCAAAATTCCCAGTCTGATATCGAAAAGGTCCATATCCTTATTCTGACGCCCGAGGAGCACTCACATCCTCAAATGGGCATCTTTGGCCCAAAACCTGTGTAACAGTGTAACACGTTTGTACAGTTAGATCCAATTCAGATTCGGGCAGTGGAAAAAAGTAGTTGTTTCCAAACTTGTTGAGTAATTTTCCTGGCAAAGGCTAAAGATGCAGGCCTATAATTTACTCTAGCATACAGTCAAAAATTATCTTAAAAATTGATCTTAAAAATTCCAACTTTTTCCTGTTTATAACAAACAGGGGAACGAACTATTAACTCCTTACAGGAGTTAATAGTTAATACTCTAAAACACCTCTTGATATGACAAAATGTTTTCAAAAAAGCTAAATATAATGAAAACGATAGCTTTAATATACAGAATATCCATTGTAACAAATAGTAATGACACCTGTAAGCCACTTAAAAAATAATTTCCTTAACAATCTATACATTTGTATAGTAAGGGGTGGGTAAACTGTCACAAAACTCACAAAAGACGTGTTGTTACAGTAACGTCAGAGAGCAGGGAGGGACCACAACTCACCCAGAAACTATTGAACGAACTTTTATCACCTGCAGAGTCCACGCAAACAACACGCGCTCTTACCTGACGCTAACGTGAGACTCCCAGCCACGCCCCTCTGCGGACGATGCCCCGCCCCCCTCCTCTGCTTTCAGGAAGAGAAGTCTCAGCAGCAGCAGCAGCGGTGAGAATCCAGCACGCACCACATCGCCACATCCTCGGACTTTTCTTTTGCTTCACGCTGCTTTTGCGGAGACGATAACATCCGAAATGGTCGTCCAGGAGTTGTAAGTAACATGAAATATCCGGGGAATAGAAGCGGGCAGGGCTTGGAGTGGAAAGAGCGCGTCAGGGTAACTTCAAACAACATCAGACTGGGACAGGAACTGGGCTCAAAAGAATAGAAACTTCCCTTGAGACTCAGGTTTACCACAGCAAACATGAAACACACACATATATCTCATCACTAGCCATAGATTTGATTTTAGGATGCTTTTTTAATATAACATGGATTAGATGTTAAGATATTGCTGTGAAAGTAACCTGTGTAATGTATGAATGTATTGTAAAGACTGTCATATGATATACCTTAAAGAATATTGAGTTTTCCTGCCTTGATATAAAAGGTAATTATCCATAATAATAGTGTAGTCTGATCAACCCAAATGCTAAGGATTTGTGGAGGAAGTTCAAACTAGAATTTGCAATAATTAAAAAAATGTGGTATATTCATTCAGTTAGTTAAGGCAGGTATTATGTGCAGTCTATGCATACTTTGCTCCTTATGCTAGCTATGTTTTCTAATAGATCGCTAGTTTTCCCACGACATTTAGTTATCTAGTTTTATAATATACACACTGCCTCTTTAGCATCAATGTCACATGTCCATAGGCCAAAGTGCACAGCCAGGCTAAGATCATTAGTACTGCTACTTGGACTATAATTCTCTCCGTAATCAAGTTTAGATTCTATCCTAGTTTGTTTTTTCTGTTCATCATTTGTCCCATTACTTAATTAAGTCAGCATTCTGGGCTGTATGCTGGTCGACCTATAGAAGTTGTTGCCTGGCAGTCCCTTCTTCCACTCTGTTCTAATAAAATATTTAGTATTGGCTACGCTGCTCGACAGGTGGCGATTAATTGTGTATTGTTAAAAAGAGACACGCACACAAATGTTTAAGAATGTCTCCAGACGAACACACAGAGAGCAGGAAAGCTTTAATATACTTTGTTATTCAGGCGACACAGGGCTTCCCCAACTCTATTGTTAGTGTAGTAATAAGTGTACTATGCATGACTGTATCGCATTATACTACTGGACATAATAATGCGGCTAAATGTTTTTTAGGGCTTGTCATTTATAGACCAGTGTGGCCAAATATTTGTTAGCAAACATTGAAGTAATTGCCTTATCAAAAATGTCACTGTAACCTGTAGCATGTAGCTTGTCCATATTGGTCTGTATATGTGTAGCATGTTCAAGACGATATGTATTGTTAGCTACAGTTTATCACATGTTAGTTAGTTATTTAGGTATTTGATAATTCCCTGTAATCCAGCCTAGGTTAAAACATATCCTTTGTGACTACTGCTGCCAGTGCCACCTTGTGTTGGTGTATTGCGCTATTATTTTTGCTTCAGCTGCTGCATGCACCCTGACATTACCCTCATGCATGTTTCCTGTGCAAGTGCAAGCTGTCTGACTATTGCAAAAGACTTTAGCTTATTTTACAATACATTATAATACAATTTATTCTTGAATAGCCCTAAAGCACAACAGCAGTCATCTCAGAGGATTTATCAAAACCATTGAAATCACCAACACAGATCAGAGAATCAAGTTGACACAGAAAATACACATCTGAATTGGTCCATTAGGAGATGCCAATGTCCATGAATGTTGATAAATATCCATTCATGTTTTCACTTTGTTGATGTATTATTTTTTATTACACGCTCATATTAAAGTGAAGCAGTTCATCATATTTAGAAATAGTATTCCAGGAGTTCTCAAGGGGTTTTAGGCGGCTCACCGAGGCCCACACCTGCTAAAATTCATCCATCCATCCATTTTCTACCCTTTAATCCATTTCTGGGTCAGGGGGGTGGCAGTCAGAGATGCCACCCAAGTCTCATAGCACCAGCCCCTCACTGACCCTCTGCAGGTGGTGAGTCCACAGGAGGACGGCTGCTCTTTGAGTGTGAGCATAGCCTTGATCTTTCAATGCTAAAATTCTCACAGAAAAAGAGAATCTTGATTGACATTTATTGTTGAATTTTCTTTATATATTTGTGTGTATTATTTGTGTTTTTAAGGGAAATGACGAGAACGAACTCAAATGTATCTCCTGACAGACTTGTCTCTCAGTGCAAAAGTAGTTCATCCAAATGTCTGTATAGGTCCCCTCGTGGGCCAAAATTGATGGTAATTCTGCTCTTTTCAGTAGCAACAATGATGCCAGCAGAAATATAGATACAAACTTGTGTTGTGACGCGATGCTTGTTCTTCCTGCAAAACATGGAGCAAAGATATTTCCCTAATCTAGTCTTTGATGAGATGTGCCACATAACATTACGCGCCTGAATTTGGGTTATTTATTGTTTCATATTTCAGCTAAACGTTAATTTAGCCTAGAATGTATATGATTATTAGTACTGCCTTAATAAATAACCTTAAATAAAAAGTGGGGTACCTGACCTTTTTCATAAATAATGCATTTTGTAAAGAAACCCAACCATGCAACATAACATCCTGTGTTGTCTCATTAGAAAATATTGTGTCTTTGCATACTGGTAAGAAAGAGCCCTGTGAGTCACCATTTATAACTTTGGACTGAGAGCTGATTGTCCTCTCTTTTTAATGATATTTACGAAAAAGACTGACCTAAGGCTGATGCAGAGGCCTAAAAATACATGCATCTGAAAACTTAGGAAATAACAGTTTTGAACTATAGTTATAATTTTATTGCGTTCCAGTTTTCTGCTTCCCCAGCTTTAAAGTTGTAATAGATTAGCAGTCGGATCCCTCATGTTGTCTTGAAATATAAATGGTATATATATATATCTATATATATATATATATTTCGGGTCAGTATCAGTGACCACAAAACCAGTTGCTCAAACCAACATCATTTTAGTCTCAATCTGGACTTGACTTTAGAGAAACCACAAATCTGTCCGTTGACCTATCGAGTGGTCTCTTTGCTCTTATTTAACCTTGACATTGTTACACACTTGTATTTTTTTGTTTCTATCTTGAGCAACATGTGCACACACTTCCTTTTCCTGCTGGTCAGCTGTTTGTGTTTCCCTTTTGTCTAAATTGTGCTTTTTCCCCCTTTTTTTTCAGTCGGATTGTCCTGCCTATTTCAGTCGAAGAGGTAAGCACTCGCATAATCATTTCCACTTGCCTTTAGGAAGTTTTGCTTAGATGTTAAGATATTGCATACACCAAAAAGTTAAAACACTTATACAATACTGTAATTGGCTGTGTTGTAAATGTATGCACAATTCATTTCACTATTTTGGTTCAAAGAAAAGTACGAGATCACTTTTTGTTCTTCTTTTTTCCTAAATACTCCCAAATCCAAAGCTTTTTGTTTTTATACATTGTGAAGAATTTCTCCCATTCTATTCAAAACATATATTGTATCGTTTTCTTATTGGTCGCTTTGGGAAAGACACCATTTCTCATTATTCTGAAGCCAGCAGAGAATGTGTTCTTTGTTCTGGTCCATTTTCAGTAAAATAACAGGAGTTTGAAGATAAGAACGGTGCATTGTGCTGCTTCCAGGGCTGAACCATCTCCTGTGAACGATATCTCCACATAAAGGAAATGAAAAGGGTTTAGCTTAGGGCTGGTCGCTGTGACAACAATAATAATATGGCAGACAAATGGTTTTTTATTTTATATAATGACAATACTCCAAATCCCATAAAAACAGCTTGTTTCTTTCAGATCAGGACCTTTTTCCATATTACATTTCATCCCATTTTTAGGCCTTGAACTGAGATCCCACCAAAAAACATGAAATTGATCAAAGTTTGAAATGGTATTTGCTCTTATGTAATTTGGTCTATTCACTTGTCAAAGCAGTATTTTGTATGTATTTTTGTAGCACAATTCAGGCAAAGTAAAGTGAAAAACGTAAACAATCGCGTTATTTTCACAGCTGCAAATACAATCTTCAGTTTGAATGGAGTTCTAATAAAAATGTAAGCCTATTCCTCGGTCCTGGGGTAGTTTTAGACCTGTTATGGGTTTGGGAAAGATTAATTAATTTGAGCCAAAATGCCTGTTGAATGCTGCCAGTGTATCGCAGATTAAAGAGGACATGTCGCTTCTACCTGCTTTATATGATCATCTATGTCACCCATGGATCATTGTTTTAGCTGTTTTAAATGTATAATAAATAATGTTCCGAAGGGTCCATGCACTTCAGGTCTGCCTCTTTGCAAACTGTCATTGAAAATGGTCACATCAAAGGCACAGCTCCACTCAGGATCAAGCTGCAATCTGTAGGTTTTTGCTGTTTGAGAAAAAAATGGCTGCTTGTAATAAAGCCGGGGAAACATCCACATTTGGTTTCAGAAAATGAATCTGCAAAGAAGGTTGTAACGGTGGAAGCGACTATGTGTCTGTAGTTAAGGTGGCAATCTAAGAGGACATAGATTTCGCAAAACATAAATGAGTTTCTATAAAACAACTTTTAGTGTTGTCATTTAGACACGGGAAAACACTTATAATAAAAAGTGGTCAAAAGTGTGAAAAGTCTATGGGCCCTTTAAAGCTGGGGTGCCACACTGTCTCCGCCCCCTAAAGAATACTTTTGTTCGTTGTAACAGAAAATCTTGTAAAAGTAACATTTTGTGAACAGGCTGTCTTCATATTATTAGAAAACCTTCAATCTTTTGCAACATGTAACAAATCGTTGAGACAAGTTTTGTTTGTAGAGCACAGTTCTTACAGGCAAGGCAACTCAAGTGCTTAACAAAACAAGAAAAGAAAACAAGACAAGGTGTTGAAACCCTAAATACACACAGTACATAAATACACACAATACATACTAAAGTCCAGATACAATCCCTCGAAGCCTGTCTCACATTTTCAGGAGGACTGGTCCAGAGTTTAGCTGCATTAATCTGAAATGCTGCCTCCCCACGTCGAGTTGTGACTCTGAGCAGGAGACCAGTCCCTGTGCTCCTAGAGTCCGAGTTGGTTCATATGACACGGATGTACTTTGGTGCGAGGCCCTGGAGAGACTTGTACATGAGCTGCTTTTAAAGTCCATTCTCTGAGCCACAGAAAGCCAAGGGAGACAAAAGTAGCCATAAGAGTCATTATTTGCCGCCTTAGGGAGAGAGCTGTCTGCAATGTTGGTCCTCTCTATTTTCCATGTCTGAAAAAGCTGATCATAAACTGTGACAGAGACTAAAACAAATGAGAATGGTGGAAGAATTTTAAGATCTCATTTCATTTATTTGTTTATTCCAAAAACCAGCATTAACACATTTTAACAACAGAATTATACAATCAATATACAAAGTTTGGAAAGGGGGTTGGCTTAAGCTTGTATAACTTTTGAGATCTATAGGAGCTAGTTAATGTTTTGACATAGTTAAAGTTATACAGGTATAGGAGGGTTTTCATCAAGGCTATTGGTCCTCCCAATTGTCAATCATTCTGTTGGTGATCTCCCGTAGGCCCCTCCAGACAGAAGCAGTATCGTTGTTACCAAACTGCTCCTGTAGTCGTTCTCTGTGCCGGGACTTGGCTGCTTTCAGTTCTCTCCTGAACTGATATTTAGCTGCTTTGTAGCCGCTGCGGTCCCCCTCCCTGAAAGCAGACTCCTTTGCTTTTCTGAGCTGCCGGAGTTTAGCAGTGAACCGGGGTTTGTCATTGTTATAGATGACCCTGGTCCTTGTTGGAATGATGCTATCCTCGCAGAAGTGAATGTATGACGTCACAGTGTCCGTGTATTCATCCAAACTATCTGTGGCAGCTCTGAAAAGGTCCCAGTCTGTAGATTCCATGCATGCGCGCAGCTCTTCCACAGCTTCATCAGACCACACTTTGGAGCTCCTCACTGCAGGTTTCGAGAGCTTTAGTCTCTGTCTGTAAGCAGGAACCAGATGTATCATGGAGTGATCTGAGAAGCCGAGGGCTGCCTTGGGAACAGCGCGAAAAGCTCCGCGGACAGTGGTGTAACAGTGATCCAGAGTGTTCTCCTCTCTGGTCGGGCATTTGATAAACTGTCTGTATTTGGGTAATTTCTGGCTCAAGTTTCCCTTATTAAAATCCCCCAGGATAATAATCGAGAGTCCGGGTATAAGCGTTCCATACACAGTACTTGCTCTGCAAGTGCGCGCTGAGCCTTGCGCGCGTCCGCGCATGGCGGTATGTAAACAGAGGCAAGAATTAATGAAACAATTTCACGAGGGGAGTAAAATGGTTTACAATGAATGAAAAGATATTCCAGAGCAGGAGAACAGTGCTTGGAGATCACTGTCACATCGCTACACCAGTTTGTAGGGCTGGGCGATTAATCGATTTTAATCATTAATTCGAGTTTTACGTTTAGGGCGATTTCTTTTTTTAAAAATTCGATTTTTATTTTCTCCAGCGCAGAACTACAGCGCTAACGCGCTAACCGCGGGTCTATGGTGTTGAGCAGTCATTTTGAAGCTAACCTAATGCTAACAGTCTCCCTCTGGCCTGATGCTCGCTCTCACAGTTGGTGCTGTTGCAATAACACTTCAAACGTTCAAGAATCAGACTTTATTTAATCGCCAGAACACACACACACACACGCACGCAGGCTCCGGTCGTTATGTCCGTACGCCATGTTCGTACGCCACATCTTTCACGCTCTCTCACGCTCGTTATTCCAAAGCGCACTCCCGTGTCCGTGGCGCTCACACACTCGTGTCCCACTGAGCCGCTGCACTTTGGGGAAAGACACGTCTCACACATTGCTCTCATTGCTCTGATACAAACAACGTGTTCCCCACTGTCTGTTAGCTACAGTAGCTGCTACAGTAGCTGTTAGCTACAGTAGCTGCTACAGTAGCTGCTAGCTACAGTAGCTGCTACAGTAGCTGTTAGCTACAGTAGATGCTACAGTAGCTGTTAGCTACAGTAGCTGTTAGCTACAGCATCAGAATGTAAACAGGAAGCTCGCACAATGCGGGAGTCACTGAAGTTAGTATTAGCGCCACCAACTGGACCGAGCATTGTACTACAGCACAGTTACTCAGGCACAGTTGAAAGAACAAGCATGAAAACCCGAGGAGGCTTTTGGAAAAGACTGTCTGTTACAACATTTCTATTTTGAGTAATCAGTTTTAAAAATGTGATATTTCATGTAAATAATGCATGTGTTTAATAGGATTGATATATTTGCGATGGGCCTTGTTTGTGTGATTTAAGTTATTTTGAAGGTGCATAGTGTCATTGTAAGTGAAGTTATTATAAAACTGTTAAGCTACATTTTCACTGTTTACAATGGCAGAGCCATCTCGTTTACAAGCATGTTTTAAGGCTTAATTCCTGTTACACTTATGCTCCATGGGGATTTAGATTAAACTGCATAAAGGAAAATCTATTTCTTTGTCAGTTGTAGTTTGTTTTTAAATAGAAAAAAATAAATCGATTAAAATCGAAAATCGGATTTGGTGTGAAAAAATCGGAGATTTTTTTTTTTTGCCATATCGCCCAGCCCTACCAGTTTGTATTGACGTAGCACAGCCCACCGCCTCTGCTTTTGCCTGATAGCGCGGAACAGCCCAAAGCCCTGCAGCTCCAGAGCGCAGTCCGGGATCCGCTCATTTAGCCAGGTCTCAGTGAAGCAGAGGACACAGGATGTGGCGAAGTCCTTGTTTCTTCTCATGAGCAGGCTGAGTTCGTCCATCTTATTGCCCAGTGAGCGTACGTTGGAGAAAAAAATGTCGGGAAGAGCCGTGCGCGCTCCTCTTCTCCTAAGACGCACGTGCAGGCCTCCACGCTTTCCCCTTTTACGGGCCCACACTTTTTTGGCTAGAACATGGAACATCAGCCGCAGATGCCAAAACAGGCAATAGGTTCATGGGAATGGTGGGTCGGATGTTCATAAGTTCCTCACGGGTGTAGACCAGAGAGAAAGTGGAGATGCCACTTGTTTCCTAAACATTTTGGGAAAATGGCACATATACAGTGGGGCAAAAAAGTATTTAGTCAGCCACCGATTGTGCAAGTTCTCCCACTTAAAATAATGACAGAGGTCTGTAATTTTCATCATAGGTACACTTCAACTGTGAGAGACAGAATGTGAAAAAAAAATCCAGGAATTCATATTGTACAATTTTTTTTTGTAAATTATGGTGGAAAATAAGTTTTTCAACT